TCAGCTTAATTAGTACTCATGTATTGTTTTACGAACTCTCTTTGGCATGATGGCCATGCAAAAATATGTTGAGACTGCCAATTCTAAGGTACAAAAGTTTGCTAAAGACATTGAAGTAGGTCACAAAGAGAATAAGATCATTAACACCAAAAATGCTGAACTCATGGCGTAGCTGGAAAAGGCTGAGAAGGAAAGGGATGGTCTGAAGAAAGAAACAGACTCCCTTCAAGACGAAAAAAACGCCCTTCTGATTGAGAAGAGTGTCTGGCAGACTGAGCGTGAAGCGCTAAAAGCTGAAAGAGACAATCTTCAGCGCCTACTTCATGATGAATAAGCAGAGCGTATGGTATTTGAAAAAAGGGCTCTGGATGAGTGTAATGCCTTGCTCGAAATCATCGGCAGAGTCCATGGAGGGATGATGGCTCTACATAGCCGTTTCTCCCGCACTGGGGCCCTCAGGTATGCCGAAGGATACCGAGAAGGTTTTAACCATCGCCTTTCAGCTGAGGGTCAGACAGTTTCAGGCACAGGCTCGGATGATATTGACAAGGAGCTGGGAATTGATCCTCCAGGAGTCTATGTTGATCCAGACCCCACTCCTGCCGAACATATTTTTGAAGAATGTGATGGGATTACCTCATCTAGAGTTATCCCTGTTCCTCCTCCCGTTCAGCCTTTAGACATACCTCCTCTCTTTACTGTGGCTCCACTTGTGACTACTAATAAAGGTGGAACTCAGCAGACTGAAGTGGTGATTCAGCTTGACTCCCCCCCTCACAGGGATGCCATTACCAATGATGGGGAGGGGAATACTAACCATCCTGGGGAGGCTGACGTCTTATGTATATCTTTGTAATCTTTCAGCTTATAATGAAAGACATGATATTTTTTGACTACATTTGATCTGAATCTCTACATCTCTTAGTAGTACTTAATAATAATTTTTGTTTAACATAAGTGTGTGGCCTTCGGCTCATAACACCAACCACTTGTCTTTTTCATTACTTTTAATAAGTGTCTGGCGCTCGGCAAGCTTTTTATTATTATTATTATTTTTTAGCAAGTGTTTGGCGTTCGGCTCGTGGTGCCAGTTGCCACTTACTATGCTTAAGTGCTTGGCGCTCGGCTAGAATGCCACTTGCCACTTTTTTTTTTTTTCATTATTTTTAAAGCAAGTGTTTGGCGTTCGGCTCGTGGTGCTAGTTGCCACTTACTATGCTTAAGTGTCTGGTGCTCGGCTTGAATGCCACTTGCCACTTGGCTTCTTTTTTTTTTTCATTATTTTTTAAGCAAGTGTTTGGCGTTCGGCTTGTGGTGCCAGTTGCCACTTATTTTGCTTGAGTGCCTGGCACTCGGTTAGAATGCCACTTGCCGCTTGGCTTTTTTTTTTTCATTATTCTTTAAGCAAGTGTTTGGCATTCGGCTCGTGGTACCAGTTGCCACTTACTATGCTTAAGTGTCTGGCGCTCGGCTAGAATGCCACTTGCCACTTGGCTTTTTTTTTCATTATTTTTTAAGCAAGTGTTTCGCGTTCGGCTCGTGGTGCCAGTTGCCACTTACTATGCTTAAGTGCCTGGCGCTCGGCTAGAATGCCACTTGCCACTTGGCTTTGCTCATACTCAGTCACCTTGTTTAAAGGAAGACGATTACTTTTTTATAAATTTTTCAAAATTTTTGCTCTCTTGTAAGTATACAATTGAAGGTAGACATTAGTTAAACTGAAACTTAATTTTTATTGATAATACCTTTTTAAAGAAATGGCATTCCAAGGCTTGTTTACCAGCCTTCCAGCCATGGTTTCTAAGACATATACCCCATTTCCAATAACCTCTACAACTTTATACGGACCTTCCCATGGTGACACCATTTTCTTAATAATACCGACTTTTTTTTCAGAACCAAATCACCAGGTGCAAAACCCCTATGCCTCACATTTCTGTTGTGACTGTTCATGAGCATTTGTTGATATGATGCGAGCCATATTGCTGTAGCACTCCTCTTCTTTTTAAGTAAGTTGAGGTTGAATTTCAGCATATGATCATTCTGCTCCTGATTCAATGCTAAACTCCGAATGGTAGGAACTTGGTGTTCTACCGGTATTACTGCCTCAATACCATATGCCATGGATAATGGGCTTTCCCCAGTCGGTCATCTTGGAGTCGTTTTATACGCTCACAGGACGTTCGGGAGTTCATCCAACCACTTCCCTTTCTCTTCTTCAAGCTTCTTCTTTATACAAACAAAAATCGTTCTGTTTGTGATTTCAGCCTAACCATTCGTCTGTGGGTGGCTGACCGCTGCTAAATTTTGATTAATTCCATATTCGTTCAGCAACTCCGTCACCTGTTTGCTATCAAGGTTAGTTCCATTATCTATGACGATCGCCCTCAGCACACCAAATCGACAAATGATATTATTCCAAATGAAGCGTCTCACATGAGTCTGAGTCACACTGGGGTACGGTTTTGCCTCCACCCATTTGGTAAAGTAGTCTGTTGTAAGTAGAACGTACTTGTTTTGCGATCTGGCGGTCGGTAATGGGCCAACCACATCCATCCCCCATTACGCGAAAGGCCATGGTTTTGCCATTACGTGCAAATCTTCTGGTGGTTGGTGGATCAGTGGTCCGAACCTTTGACACTTATCGCACCTTCGCGAAAAGTCCTCAGCATCTCGTGCCATATTCGGCCAAAAATAACCATGTGTCGTCACCTTGTGTGCTAGAGACCTTCCTCCTGAATGATTGCCATAAACCCCTTCATGGATAGTCGACAGTATCTGCTAAGCTTCTGCAGGGGCTACACATTTTAAATATGGTCCTAAATAAGACCTCCTGTAAAGTTTGTTGTGCACTATGGCATACTTTGCGGCATTCGATCTGATCCTTTTTGCTTCATCCCTCTGTTCGGGCAAAACACCATCCTGTAAATACGTAATAATTGGATCTATTCAGCTCGGTTCATATGGTATAACGTTCACCTGCCAGGGATCCGAACTGAACGGTTCCTCAAGGATAGATGGCTGGCGTAGTACCCCAATTAGAATTACCCTTACTAGTGTTTCACCTGAACTTGACGCACTACAAGCCAACCGATCGGCATCTTTATTATGTTCCCTCGGCAATTGAATAAACCTGATCTGATCGAAGCCTATAATTTCTTGCATAACGGCAGAACGATATGCCTCCATTGTTTCATCATTTGTTCCATACTCTCCAGTCACTTACCGAATTATCAACTGCGAATCACTGAAGGCAACTAAACTTTTGACCCTTAGCTTCTTGGCCAACCTTAAGCTAGCCAGCAGCGCTTCATACTCTGCTTCATTGTTGGTTACTTTGAACTCAAGCCTGATCGTTTGGCTCACCGTAGTGCCTTCTGGTGTTTGTAACTTGATCTCGATTCCTGCCCCTATCTGATTTAAAGAGCCATCAACGAAGAGCTTCCATGAAGATTCTTTAAGGCATTCATCCGGCTCATCTACATCACATTCCAGTAAGAAATCAGCCACAGTTTGCCCTTTAATAACCGTTCGGGGTTCATAAGCTATGTCGAAAAAACTAAGTTCTATTGCTCACTTCGTCATTCGTCCGGACAAATCGGGCTTATGCAAGATCACCCTTATAGGAAACGTGGTCAAGACGACTATAAGATGAGACTCAAAGTAATGCCTGAGCTTCCTTTTTACGTTTACCAAATATAGGATTACTCGTTCGGCCTTCGAATACCTTCTCTCTGGCTCGGTCAACATTTTGCTTACATAGAAAACTGGGAATTGCTTACCCTTAGCACATCATATCAGCACACCACTGGTTGCAATGTTAGAAACTCCGAGGTACAGGAAAAGCTTTTCGCCTAGCGCTAGGGCGTTCAGGACTGGTGGGTTCCGCATATATTCTTTCAACTTGATCAGCGCTTGCCTTTGCTCATCCCCGCAGGACTGTTTTCCATAACCCCTGATTGTATCGAAAAATGGCTTATAACGGTCGGATAACTTAGAAATGAAACGACTCAGTGCCACTATGCGTCCGGTGAGAGCTTGGATCTCTTTGATAGTTCTTAGTTCAGCATTTTTTAGCAACGCTTCCATTTGGGCTAGAATAACCTCAATTCCTCTCTTGTTAACCACGTGGCCAAGGAATTGCCCAGATCCCACGCCGAACAAGCATTTAGTTGGATTCAGCCTCATTCCATACTTTCTCAGCACGCCGAACACCTCCTGTAAATGTTTTAAGTGATGGTCCTTCTGTTTGCTTTTAATCACCATGTCGTCAATGTAACCCTCTACTGGCCTGCCTATTTTATCCTTAAAAATCTTGTTAACCAACCTCTGGTACGTGGCTCTGGCATTCTTCAGTCCGAACGGCATAACCTTGTAACAATAGATCCCTCGTTCGGTGACAAAAGAGGTCTTTTCCTCATCGTCGGGTCCATTGGGATTTGATTGTAGCCTGAATATGCATCCAGAAAGGTCAGTCGCTTATACCCGGATGTTGCATCCACCATTTGATCAATCTTTGGAAGTGGAAAACTATCCTTCGGGCAGGCTTTGTTTAGATTAGTGAAATCAATGCAAACTCTCCATTTTCCATTCTTCTTTTGCACTACAACCACATTCGACAACCAGTCTGGGTACTGTACTTCTCTAATGAACCCAGCCTCTAGCAATCGATTAACTTCATCTGAAATGATCTAGTTGTGCTCCGGGGCGAACCTTCTTTGCTTCTGCCTCACTAGCTTGACGTTTGGATCTACATTAAGAGAATGGCAAGAGACTGATGCGTTAATCCCTGGCATGTCGAGATGGCTCCAAGCGAATACATCGGCGTTCTGGGAGAGAAAATCAACCAATTGACCTTTTTCTTCCTAAAAAAGCCCGAAACCTACCTTCGTGGTCCGATCTGGGCTTAAATGATCAATTTGAACTTCAACCAGTGGTTCTTCGGTCAGCATCGGAAGATCCTCCTCTTCGTTCATGCTGAGGGAAGGCTTCTGTAATTGTTATTGCTCATCAGCAGATCGGGCATGAGTTTGTCCCTTCCCTGCAGCTTTTAGAGTTACCAAGTAACACTCTTTTGCTGCGACCTGATCTCTACGTATATCTATCACCTTGCTCCCGTCTGGACTTATGCATCTCATCACCTGATGTAGGGTCGATGGGACTCCTTGTACCCTATAGATCCATCCCCTACCCATCAGCAGATTGTAGGAGGGATGGATCTCCACCACCACGAAACTTTCGACAAGGTTTTTTTCAGCTGCGCGTACCATCAACTCCACTGTGCCGATCGGTTCTACCCGTTTGCCATCAAACCCCAACAGTGGGTTTTTAGTAGACTTCAACTCCTTTGGATTGATTTCTAGGCTATCAAAGGTGACCCTTGGCATGATATTTGCATTACTCCCCGGATCAATTAGCACTCTTCATACTAAACACTCAGCCACTGTCAAACTGACAACCAAAGGATCCTCATGAGGAATCTAGACTCGCATCAAGTTTGTCTTATCAAACCTTATCGGCGTTGTTGAGCTTTGTTGGTGCAGAGTGTTGACACTGCCTATTCGTCTCTTCATTTGTGCTTGTCGAAGACGCGTTCGGGTCAACTCTTCAGACTCTTCGGCTCGTTCAAGTCGACCATGAATGGCATTTATAATTCGAATGGGCTGAGTGTTTTGGTGATTCAGCTTTTGATTTCTTTTGACTTGCTCAATTGGTCGATTCTACTCTTGGGCTGGTCCATGAATATACCCTGCAAACTTTCCCCTAGTGATCAGCATCTCCACTTGTCTCCTTAAGTTCCTGCATTCATTAGTCTGATGACCAAAATTACTATGAAAAGCACAATGTTTGGATTGATCATGCTGCTCAAGTGGTTGTCTAATTGGAAAGGGAGGGCGAAACTTATCTTTGTTCTCTTGGTATAGCCTTGCCAGTGTAACTTTGAGTGGAGTAATCAGGTCATCCTCCCTGGGCCTCTTCTCTGTCTTCTAGGAGGTCTGACGTTGCGTAGGAACTTGCTTCTACCGTATTTTCGCTTTGGACTTCTCTTTCATGGAGATGATAGATGTCTTCCTAGCATTAGCTGCTTCTTCATCTTCCAGACGTACGAAACCATCAGCTCTTTCATTCAGCTCGCCCATTGTCTTCGGCGTGTTTACCACTAGACTGGTATGGAACGGTGTCCCTCAGGTCATAGCTAACTTGAACGCCTGAACTGCTATGGAAGGATAGCACTCTATCACCATGCTCTTGGTTAGGTTAAACCTGGTAAGAAAAGCTTAGAGACGCTCATCGTCATGCTGTTTCATGGTGAACAAGCTGGAGATATCTTTTGCCAGGCACTTATTCCCATAGTATTGGCTTATGAACTGATCACACAAGCTACGGAAGCTGTCCACTGAGCCCCTCGGCAGGTTCTTAAACCAGTTGAGTGCCAGTCCAGCTAAGCTTGTAGGAAAACATTTGCACATCAAAGGATCATTCTCTGTGTTCAGTGCCATTTTCAACTGAATGTGATAGACATGATCAATCGGATCGGTCGTTCCATCGAACAGAATGAAAACAAGTATGGAAAACTTCCTCGGGCCTGGAGCATTCAGGATCTCGTCAGTGAACGGTGAATCAACCGTCCGTGCTGCCGAATAGAGGGCCTCATTTTATCTTTCAAACCTTGTGACAACTCTTTGATCTGTAGATCTTCTTTCCGAACTCCTATAATCATATGTGGCCATTGAAGGCTGATAAGGTGGATCGAATGACCTTTCCTCAGTGAACCATGGCGAGTTAATCTTGTGACAATCAAACTCCATATCCTGTTCGTGATTGTGCCTTTCCTGATACGGATTGAAAGCTGTGTTTTCATCCCACCTGATATGCTCACGATGAGGATCGAGATGTACAAATCCTTCTCGATCCTCAGCTCGACGAGCGTTTGGCGGTAAATTCTCCATCCTAACCTCCTCGTGGTGGAGATTGACGTGGTGATCTCCTTCTTGCTCACCTTGATGTGCGTCATCAGGTCGCACGCCTCTTTCACCCACCGGAGAGGGTCGCGGCGCAACCGAAACCTCTTGATGTTCCATTCCAATTCTCAACTCTGCATTTTCTTTTCTCAGTGCCTCGATCATGTTCATCAGTTCATCAAGCTTCATCTGCTGGTTATTCTCCACTGGATTCGAACTCTCTTCTCCGATCATCATTCCGGATCGTAGCAAAGTAATCAACCGCAAATTTCTGTTCAGATCTCAGTTTTGCCAATGCTAACGCTCTAGATCTGGATTCTAGTGCAGCTGAATTCTGATCGTGATTAACCAGATCTGAATTGCTCCGGTGACGAACTTGCCAAATTCAGCAATTTCAGCGACTCTTGACCGCACAACTTTTTAAAACAAGCACAAATCAGAACTGCGTAGCTCGAACGCCAATTTCTCCTATCACAATTTCACAGATCTTAATTCTGCCTTCAACGATCAGGCTTCGTCTTCAAGCGCTATACCACTAGATCAAATCAATCTGAGTAAATCATCAATGAATTCTCATCATTTCCCACGGACGGCGCCATTGAAGATGCAAAAAATTTTCTCTCTCTAAATTAACAGAGTTTCATTACACTTCAAAATTTTCGATCCCCTTTTTCCTTCATTTTTCACCTATTTATAGATTATTTACAATGTTCTAGAAGATCCCTAACTAACTTTCTCCATTAGGCCCATCATCGAGGCTTTTGTATCCATCGATCCATTCGTCATTCAGGCCCTTATCTTCACTCTTCGGCATTGGGCTTGCCTCATGACAACTTGATTTGGGCTCATGTCGTTTGCCTGGCCCATTCTTCATCATGTGGGTTAGATCTGGCCCACGCCGTCTTTGGGATCCTCATAGGCAAAACTTCATATTCATTAAAATTTTCTTCATTCCTATGTTCTTCATTCACCAAATCTTCAACTAAACTCTTAGTTTATGCATCGTTCCTAAAAAACTTATGAATAGCGCCATTTTGAGACTGAATCAATTTTTTTTTTTTTTTTTTCATACCTAGATTTAAATTTTCTTATAGACATAATTGTCAAAAATCTTGCAAACTTAGAAATCTAAATAACAGGAAACACAATTAACATAAAATTAAACTTTAAAAAAACATATTTTTCTGAAAGAAAATATAGATTACCTCGATCTCAATGGCTCAATATGCAATAATATCATTTATAGAAAAACAAAAATACCTCATGAGATATCTAAATGATATGTCTTCAAGTGAAGAATTGCTGGAATCTGGATTGGAACTCCTGTATTACAACAAATTCATTTGTCAAACAATAATTCCATAAGAACAATTGATATAGAATTATAGATTTAAGTTCATCAAAATAATTTTTTGGTTTAAGATTTAAGTTCATCAAAATAATTTTTTGGTTTTACATTTAACTTCTTAATTTTTATTTTCTTTTCCTCTAGAAATGCAGATGTGACTTCTTTATACCATTTCCAGGATCTTTAATATATTTACTCCCTGAAGGCTGAATTACAGATGTGACTTCTTTATAATTTTTTGGTTTAAGATTTAAGTTCATCAAAATAACTACTTGAAGTCTTAAAGACTTGAATTAGAATTTAGAGTTAGAAGTAGAAAACTTACAGTGAACAATAACTGAATAAGAGATGATAATGATTGCGAAGAGAGTCTAGAGAGAGAGAGGACAGTAGAATAGAGAACGAGAGCCAAAGGAACTGAGTTTTGAACTTTTGATTTTTGAGGAAAAAAAGCTTCTGATTGTTGCAATCTTGCAGAGTAGAGAGAGAGAGAGAGAGTTTGAGAGAGAGGGAGTAAGCTTCTATTGAGTCTTTTTTTTTTTTTTTTTTTTTTTTTTTTTTTTTTTTTTTTTTTGAGGCCCCTTTTTGCTGCATTTGGTTATAATTTTTTTTTTTTTGGTGGCCTATCATTCTTGAGGTCTGATATGCTGCATTTGGTTATAATTTTTTTTTTCTTTTTTTTGTGGCCCAACATTCATGGGCCTATAAATTTTGAGGCCCCTTAAAAGATTTGCTGCATTTGGTTACAAATACATGGGCCTATAAATTTGGAGGCCCCTTAAATTCTGAGGCCCTAGGCGATTGCCTTAGGCTAGGGCCGGCCCTATGTTCTTATAAAAAATGTTTAAGTTTGGCAGTAATAATGTGGTGACTACATATATATGCCTTAATTTGTTCTTGCCAATCTGTCTAATGGATCTAGATCAACATATGTTATATAAAATAATATTGTCTTTCTAGAATTAGTGGTGTTATAGGAACATATCTGTATTTGCTTGGGGTTTGTCCAGCTCTTGGTTTCTATATTGTTGACATGCTCTGCTTATTGTTTAGCCCCCTTCCATTTTTATGATGATGATATATGTAACCCTTTGCATCCGCTCAACTGTTTTTACAAATTTAATGCATTCAGTTTAATTAAGGGTCTGTTTGGTAAATTCTGATTTTCATTTTTTTGTTGTGTTTTTATTTTTATGAAAATGGCTAGTTTTAAAAAATTGTTTTGTCATTTCTATCAAAACCAAAATAATATATACACACACACATATATATATATATATATATATATATATATATATATTTTTTCCTAGCTGGGACTCACACACACTGCCTCTACTGAGGTTTAATCCCCTGACCTACTTTTGGGAAGTAGAAGCTTTGTACCGTTAGGTGACATGCTTGTTGGTGTCAAAACCAAAACAATTTGGTATTGAATTTTTGAAAAAAGAAAAGAGAAATATGTTTGATAATTTTGTTTTTTGAAATTTTGACTCTTTTATTTACTATTCAAGAATAATTGAAAATTAATAAAATAACATTTTTAATTTTATCATTCAATTATAATAAAATAATTTTTTAATTTTAATACTATTTGAGTATAATTGAAAAATAATAAAATAATATTTCTATTTTACTATTAGAGTACAATAAAATATATATTTTTAAATTTTATTTACTATTTGAGTATAATTTTAAAAAATAATTAATAATTTATATACAGCTTGATTATATTTGAAAAATAATTAAATAATAAAATAACATTTTTTATTTTACTATTAGAGTATAATAAAATATATATTATTCATATTAATATATAATGTTGTATTTGGTCCAATTATGATATACCGGTCAATGTTTAGGTAAATTATACTGATGTCGCATGAGGTTTGCACAAATTACATAAAGTAAAGCGTTTGACCTTTATTATTTTGATCTCCCTTGAGATTTGACACGTGTACTCAACGACACCCCTTGTTGTTAATAATTTTTTTAAAATAACTAAATTGTCATTTCCTTGTGTTAAAAGACTTCAATAACCTTATATTTTGACATGAAATGACAAAAATACCATAAAATGCCATTGAAATATAAAATCTTAATTTTATACCAATTTTTTATTATTAAATTTTACATATATATATATTTTTTGTTAATGACATTTGATTAGGTTTCTTTTTAAGGGTTGATTAGGTTTTGTTTTGTTTTTTGTTTTTTTTTAAAAAAAGGTATGCTAATAAAGTGTTTACTAAAAGGGGAAAAAAAAGGTAATAGACTCTTTTGGTTTGACAATTATTTTATTTATTAAACTATTATTAAATTAGATAAAAGTATAAATGAAAAAAAAAAAAAAAGGTATGCTAATAACGTGTTTACCAAAAGGGGGAAAAAAAAGGTGATAGACTCTTTTGGTTTGACAATTATTTTATTTATTAAACTATTATTAAATTAAATAAAGGTATAAAATGACATTTCACATTTTAGAGAATATCAAAATAATAATAGTCAAATGCTCTATCTCATACGTAATTTGCTCTAATCTCATGGACATTAGTATAATTTACTCTATATTTTTCTACATGCCACAGGGCTAAAAAGGAGTTTCAAATTTTCAATACTGACAAAGTCTAAATAAAATAAGGAAAATGAGTTCTAAAATCCTATTAAAGGTCCTAGAATTATGAAAAAAAGAGTTAAAATTGATCAAAAATTAAAAATTCAAAACCATCCCAACAAGTACCATCTGTTAAATATTTTCTGCTCCGGTAAAACGTACAATGTAGATGTTATTTTGTGGTTATATATTCGGCACTTGGCCAATTTATAGACTACTAATTATATATGACCTTAGATACCACTTCCTTACCTTCCAAAATAGATTGAAGATGGAGAAATACAAGGTTGATGGTTCAAGTCCATCTCCATATATATGAGCAAGATATGTGTCTGTGAGAGTTATTTAACAAAATTAATCATTGAACGTTCTTGGATTGCTTCCATATATATATGCATTAGATATATATATTTTTTGACCCATGCAGTTTCATAACCATACAAGTAACTATTAAGGCCTTGGAATTGCTTTGATTGCAAGAAGCATGTACCCATGAATTTTTCAAGTGCCATTTCTGAATATTCTTTATTTCTCATTCATTCTCTGTAGGGATCAAGCCAAGCAGGCAAGATGAATTTCAGAATGAGGACATCCGCAAAACGTTATTTAAGGATGAGAAAGATGAGGACAGATCTGGGGAATGCCTAAAAGAACTTAATAAAATAGAGAATGGCTTCAAGATGGTTTGAATCTTTTGTCCGCCAAAAGGCTGATGATGGGGAAAAGCTGTTGCGTGAAGGATTGGAGCAGGCAAAAGAAGGGTTTGGCGAGCTAAAACATCTGACGTGTTAGGAAGCTCCACCTGACTGATATATATATATATATATTAAATCTAGATTTTATCCGTCTATCAAATTATGTAACTTAAGCTTGCAACTCGCAAGCCCTATGTCATGTTTCTTTTTCATTTTCGGTAACTACTGTTGTACAACGTATTCTGCCTCTCATTTTTAATTTGAAGTTGTTCAATTACAATTTGAGTTCAGATTTTCGATTTACTCTAGGATGATAAGTAACTCATTTCAATTCTACTTAAACAATCATGTATAGCTATTTCTATAGTTAATTCCTGCACCACACACATTGATAGAAGGATAACTTCAGCTAGGGCGTCCATGGAGCCGATTTACATGAGCTCACGTCTCACAGCCTTGTGTTCACTTGAAAATGTAATGCTTATGGTGTCTTATGGATCTCTTTTCATTAGAACAGAATTTAAAGGTTACTCGTCAATATTGGTATTATCAAATATTGAAACATCATAGTGAATGATATTATCTTTAAATTAATAATAGAAGTGTTTAAAAAAAAAATTGTTATCTAATAAATGAAAAAATAATTTAATTGTGGAAAGTACTTATTAGAATATGTCACCAAACAACAACTCACATATATTTTACTTATCGCAATTTTTTAACAGCTTTATTAATAAAAGTGCTTTTTCTATTCCAACAGCAATCCCAAACTAACTTTAATTAGATAAACTCTAAACGCTGAATATATTCAAATTGAATAATCAAATAAGACCAAATTAATATATAAACAAAGAAATAAGTCTATTGTTATAACAAGACAACATAGAAGCCTATTGTTATAAAGTAGACTTATTTCTCATCGAACTCAGATGGAAAAGTGAATGAGTATATATGAATTGAGTATTAAAACCCGTTTATGATTGCTTATCTACTGTTTAAAAGTGCTTTTAATTTGAAAAATTGCGTTTAAATATGCTTGGTAACCATTAAAAACGTTTTTAATAGTTATTAAATTTAGCTTAGTAAATCTTTTGAATGAAAGTAGAATTTTGAGCTTTTAATATGGCCTTTCGGGTAGAGATTGGATATTTTAGATAATTTTTTTTATTAGACAATTTTGTCCTTTTATTTTTTATAAAGACAATTACACTTTCTTCTTAACAAAGTTAGTATTATCAAATACGGTAACATTCTATTAAAAGATATTATTGAAAAATTAGCAATAGAAGTGCTTAAAAAAATATTGTTACCAAATAAATTAAAATATAATTAAATTTTAAAAAGTACTTAATAATATATCACCAAACACCTATTTTTTTTTTTTTGGACCAATCTGAACTCTGCTAGGTTTTGAGAAATCCCAGCCCGAATTGGGACCAATTTGTGAATCTAAAAACCCAAGTCCCAAAAGTTTTGGACTGGGTTTGGGTTGGGCTGGGTTAGACAGCCCAAGTTGCACCCCGGTATTAAGACAGTGAGGAGGTATGCACTAATGTTGGTCTAATGAGGTCAGGGAAGGAAATAAGTGAAAAAGACTAGGCAATATTTTTTATTCCAAAGTAAAAGACTCAGCAATGTTGTTTATTTTGTTGTCTTTGTATTAAGAGGGTTAACATACCAACATGCAAACTTCTTTTTTTTCCTCAGGTAACATGTACAGTAATTTTCTTTTCTCAGTGCCGTCTGCAAGGCATTGAGAACTTTGAGCACAGTATATAGTAGCAGCAAATGATATGAATCTCCATGGATTTGGGAAATATTCAATTAATTAGGCCTATTTTCGATCATTCTGTTTAATTAGGCCTAAACTTGTGGGTGTAAGTGTAATTTTTTTTTTTTTTTTTTTTTAAATTTACTTCAAGAGAAAGGACATTAAAGACATTTCAATGAAAAGTCTGAAACTGATTTTTTTTTTTTTTTTTTTGGAAGTTTGAACAATTGTTCTGGTTGAAATAGTATAGTTCTAATTGAATTGGATTGAAGACTTCTCAGGGTACTGGTGAATCCCACCCACCTTAAACCCAGTGCATTGTAGAGAATTTAATCAAACTGAAAAAATAATTATTGCTAGTGGAGTAATGAACTTAGTTGAAAACCTGAATAAAAATAAATAAATAAATAAATAAATAAAGAAAAAAAGAAGAGGAACTAAGAATTTAATATTGCCTTAAGAATATTTAATAGGAATTTGTTGGTCTATAAAAAAATAGATTAGCTAGTAATTTGTTCTTGAGTGCATGCTTTTATCTAATTATGTGGTCCTTAATGGATAATTCTGGAGAGTACTATTGCTTTGGCTTCTTGTTTGTGTTGGTCTTTTTGGAAGTGCAGGATGGGATCCTCAGAGTTGTGGAAAACTCTGTTTCTTTAAATGAGCTGCCTAGGGTCAGTAGCGGTGAAGCTATGAAGAAACCTTTTTTAGTCATATTTTTCATTTGCAAATGTGGCATGGGCTTTGGCTAGCAGCCGTGTGGGCCCACATTTGGCCGGCCTTATTGTGACTAAATTTTTGGCCTGCTGTTCTAACTAAGAGACTTTACAAATACTACCCAGATCTTAAATATATTTAAGCTTTGAAATTAATAGAAATCAATACAATTAGTACAAGTAATGTGACCTATTACTATTAGCAACTTCCTTCTTTCTTTCTTTTATTTTTATTTTTTAATTTATTTTTTTGGCAAAGTGAAGGCTAGATGATTAAAGTTTCTTCCAAAGCTAGAAAGCTGTAAGTGCACCAATTTCATTAAGTACCTATATCTTGTCAATTAATCATTTGTTTCCAATAAAAACTAATAATAATAATAATACTAGTCTAGTTCTATAATCGTGTCAATATTTACTAGTAAAATTATTTTTTTCGTGTTTAGGGGTGTACACGGTTTGATTTAAACCGGTTTAAAAGTTTTTTTGGAACCAAACCAATTCTAATGGATTCATAAAATTTGGAATTGAACCAAATCATTTGACCAAAAGAACCAAAGCAAAGCAAACCAAATCGTGAAAAACCGGGTTGGTTCGTTTCGGTTTCACGGTCTCTCTTTTTTTTTTTTTTGGGTTATAGAAGTATTCATATTTCAAAATCCACCGCATACACAACTATAAACCAATTTACCAATACATTCAGAATTATTAATATATTCAGAACTTTTAATTCATTCTTTTTTTAACACTTCTGAAACTAAAGTGAATAAATTCAGAATTGCTAATAATCTAATATATTTAAAATTATTAATTCAACAACAAACAATAAGCCATAATTCAAAATTCAGCCACTAAAAAAAATAAATAAATCATATAATAAATTGAAAAGATCTAAGAAAATTAAGAGTGAACCATAGGATTGATCGTTGTTCCTAAACTTCTAACTAATTTGAATTATAAGATTATATTATATTATATATATAGTATAATTTAACATATATATAAATAAATATATATATATATAATATAATTCCTATCTTTACGGTTTAACAAATTTAGAACGGTGAACAAATCAAACTGACCGATCAGATTTGATCCGGTGTAATTTTTCAATTTGACCAGACGTTTATACACCCCTAGTCCTGCTGCTTCTAGCTTGTATTTTTAATCTTACATGAAACATATGGAATGCGTATGGTTACACGCGCGAGTGCGCACACTCTCTCTCTCTCTATATACACAGGAGTATTTTTCCTCCATTGCTGGTCGTGAAGTCCTGATCGAATTGTTCAGTCGTGTAAGAACAAGGTTCTAAGTCTACCAGTCTGTTAGGATGTCTCAACTACATACATCTCTCCACTTTCACTTAACACCTATAAATCGCTCATCTCACCGTGACCTTATTGTGAATTCTCGAAACTTCTGTCCTTCAATTATCACAGGGGCAGAGAACTCATCGCGGCTGTGCTACCCGAGGCTTTGGGAAAGTCGGAACAGGAGAGCACTCATGCTGATCGCCTGGACTGGCGGTGTTAATGAATATGGGAAGCGTGATCACGAGTCTACTCAGAATGAAGCTGAAGACAACGACACCTATGCTCCTCCTCATAAAAGACACGAGAATACCGGTCGTGATTTTGTCAAGCAGAGTGGAACCCAAATCGATTCTTCAGGTTAGTATTCTCAATTTATTAACTTCAGGTAAGTACTAATGCTAGAACAAACTAGCTAACGCAATTAATGGATGATGATCTTATTATATAGTGATGATATATATATATAAATTTCAAGTACAATTTCTAAAGATTTTTTATTTATTTATTTTTAATTACAGATATCGTGAATTTCATCAACATATCAAATATTCAGAATCAAGCGATCTTCAGACCGTTAATTAATTGTCATATCACAAAGCAAATTTGGATGGAGTTCAAAAAAAAGCTAGAGTACAGACTTCGGAAACGCCTAAGAGAACTCACAGAAAATGATGTCAATAGTATGGAACATGTGTTAGAGATGGTTGATTTATTGTATCTTCTGAAGATGTTCAATATTTCAGATCCCAACTTTGAAACTTTTGTCCAAAAGGCTGATGATGGGGAAAAGCAGTTGCGTGAAGGTTTGGATCAGGCAAAAGAAGGGTATGACAAGCTAAAACTTGCGGTATCTGACGCGTTAAGAAGCTCCACCCGACCTGACTCATATATGTATTAATTCATTAACTCTGCATTTTCGCAAATCCTATGTATGTGTGTTTCTTTTTCATTTTCAGCATTCCTACTCCTGTTGTACTGTGGTCTGTTTCATCTTTAATTTGAAGTTGTTTATTAATTACAATTTGGTTCAGATTTTAGATTTGGCTAGCTGCTAATTAATTAGTCAAAATGATGAGCAACTATACTGAAAAAAAAAAAAAAAAAAAAAAGGCTCTACACTACATATTTTGAGATCTTTATAGTAAGAACATGAACTACTACCATTTTATTTATATAATCCTGTTTTAGCAATATCCATAGTTAATTTCTTTCGCCATATTAGTTAATTTGGTAACTTCAGCTGGGGTGTAGGCGTGGAGCCAATTTACATGTACTCATGGCTCAGGTTTGTGTCCGGCCACTTGTAGATGCAACGCCCATTGCTCTCAGTGGATCTCTTTCGATTATTCCTTTTAAGATTAGTCAATGAAAAATTTAGAAAGTCCACTATTGGTAAATTTTAATTTATTAACTGTTTTAATTATTTGAGTTGACAAAGAAAATTTTCAAATTAATTGTAAAATTACCAACAATTGACAAATGAGACTAAGCTGAAAAGTTTGTATGTTGTCTACTGTCTCCAAATTATTGTCTTGTTGTACTATGTTAGTTGAAAAGAATAATTTTTATTTTTATTTTTATTTTTTATTTTTATATAATTTTATCATTATTCAATATAGGCCCCTGTTATCAATTCTTGGCCTGGCCATAACTCTCCGTCCAAAATTAAAGAACACAGTTAATGTGAAAATAGTAAATGCATCAAGTATTACTTTCTTCTTCTTTGATTACTCTCTCCAAAATCAAATGGAAAAATTGAATTTTCAATTTCGACTAAAGGATTTAGGGACGTCTCGATGTTGGTTTTTCAGAAAATGAGGTTTTTGCAAATAATTTACTAAATTTCTTTAACAAAGTTTTCAACAAAGGAAAATAATGGTTTCAATTGATCAAAGGGGGGAGAATAATTGATGGGTTGACATAGATTTTCTACAATTGATGAGATAAGAGGGGGAATCCAACAGTGAGAGAGCAATGGTGTGTACTGTGTTTTTTTAATTTTATTTTTAGGATACATTCGGACACATATTCAATCATTTTGGTCAAATTAAATATCTCAATACTCCTACTTTAAAAATTAATGTATCATAATATCATTGAATCACTTGTCTTTTTGTAATTTTTTAAAAATAGATACCAAATTTATTTATGTAGTCTAATTGAACTTTGCCATGCAATATTACTTATAAGGTGAAAGCTCATCCTTGAGGTAAGGAGATGAGTATTGTTCCTCAACTAGGTAGCTTGCATGGGGGACAATTCTTTCATACGTGGTCCAATCAAACAGTAAAGTAAAATATTGTGATCCAGTCGTATAAGAGTTATAATTTCTGAAGGAAAGTCTTGGGTTTGAGTCAGAGACAACGTGCGTAAATAAATTGTTTTACCTTAAAAAAATTAAGAAAATAAAAAAATTAGTGAGAATCATTTTATTCTTATATCATTTTATATTTATAATCAAATATTATAATAAGAATGACTATTCTTACTTACACTTCATTCCATACCACCAACCAAAGGTAACATTTGAATTTCATACCATCTATGCAGGCTCTTTCTTTACACGGAAAGATGGTGACGGATTAAAAAATATGCAATATATTTACATTCAAACAGTATAATAAGAATGATTATTCTCACTTATACTTCATTCTATACCACCAACCAAAGATAACAGTTGAATTTTGTGAATAAGATACATACTACCTCAGTTAAATTTTCACGCCATCTATGCAGGCTCTTTCTTTACACGGAAAGATGGTGACGGATTAAAAATATGCAATCCCGTGTATACTGGGGGAGTCTCTATATGCATGTTAACATTGGAGTCTCTATTGTGAAGGAAAATAAAACTTGGCATGTTCAATTAATTGTTTGAAGAACTAAAATCAGTATTAGATAGCTAATATTCCATGTATCATACTAATTTACCCATTAAATAAAATATTTGAATTGTGGTTGTACAATAGTGATAAACTAATAAACTCTGTGTACTTAGACGTAACTGTGCAGAAATCTGTGTACTTAGAGGTAACTGTGCAGAAACCTTATATAGTCTAGTTCCCAGTTCTATTAGAATGTGAAAGCATGGAAAGAATAAATGAAATATTTTTGAACAACTTGGCTAATGGATCTTAATATGTTATTCTATTTATTTTCGATCTTCCCAAAATATATATATATATATATATATATATATATATATATATATATAAAGACCGAAGATTTGTCTTTAATGGGGTCAGTGGAAGAAAAAAAAAAAATTAATGGGGACGGAGAAAGGTCAGTATCTCCTGGCCAGTCATGCCCGCCACTCTTGACACAACAAGACATCTCTATTTATTTATGTTTTTTCGAACAGTAATATGGAGGAAATGAATAAGATAAAATTAGAATTGGACAGAAAATCAAATAAAAAAGAAGGCTAGCAACGGCTACAGCAGACTGCAGACACTGCAGTTTTGAACCTTTCTGTTGCGCCAAAGACAAAAACGTCATTTTTTATGTTGATGCCACTGAACCACATTAGAGCTTGTGATGGAGCTCAACTCCATTCTATAAAGAGGGACACATAATAGGATAATAAATAAAATTAGACAAGAGCCCAGTAAGAACCAAACCCCAAAAATTCTATGAGCAAAAGGAGATTGCTTAAATTGAAATGATAGCAATTTACATTTGAACGAATTTTGAACATATAACCTTAATGATTGAAGAATGTGGGGATGATTTATTTCCAAAAGCTGCTATTTCGCTCCCTCCATATGAAGTATACGTAGCTGGTAGTCAAAGGATGGTTTCTATTTTTTTTTTTTTTACCAAACATGGATGTTTTCTGCTTACTATTTCAAAAACATAATAACAGATCTGCTTAACCAAACTTCCTTCTGCTTTTGAAGAAATCATATCACAACATAAACACTGCTTTTATTTCTCACGAATTTGACAACGAAAAATGATAGCGTTTGCCGAATGTGCCCTTAGAGAACAGATGAGAGGGCTGCAGAGGCTTACAAATCAAAAGAACAAATAAAACAGCCAAACAAAGCACCACACAGGGCCTAAACAGAAGACAACTCTAAACAATAAGCAGAGCTATAGCATCTCAAGAACACAGAAACCAAGAGCTTGACAAACCCTAAGCAAATACACATATGCTGATCAACATCCATGACACAGATTGGCAAGAACAAATGAAGGCATGCATAATCATCCACATTATTAATGCCATACTTACTATTTAAGAACGCATGGTGTAGATGGTCTGCAGTAATGTAAGCACAAAAAGGAAGAAGGCAGCAACTACCGATATGACTGTCCATGGATTACTGAAATAATCACGTCTCAGTTTGACTTGAAACTTGGGCCAACTTTGATTGTAAAACTTGATGACCTTTAGGCAGTCCTTAGTTGAGTAGAGACGATTTATAGAAATATTCTTGCCAAGATTGTTGAAGAGATGTGCCACTTCTTCACCGGAACCCATGTTGTTAACTATTATCCCTTTTTTCTCCAGCAATTGTACATCGTCAGCTGTGTTGATGAGTCTATCTATGAGAAGAGCATGTGATGTGAAGTATTTCTTAACACGACAAGATTGTTCAAGAGCAATGAAGTTTCTCAAGAACAACTCAGTATAATCGTTAACGTCGAAAGGTGGGATCTCCAATTCACTTCTCCTCCAAAAACAGAAACTATTGGGGGTCTTAAACTTGAAGTCGAATAAGTCCTTTTTATTACCTTGCACAAACTTGATTCCTCCCATATCGAGTTCTGTTGCAGAATATTTGAAATTCTTTAACACCTCGGCTGTTTCTTGAAACGACTCTGGCTCCTCCGCTTCCTCCCTTGGCAAGTAGCAACTGTGTAAAAGATGGAGTACATGGGCGGTACGTTTGTCATCCATTTTTTTTAAAGTACGTGGTTCTACGCTTATTAGATCCCAATAGAGTGAAAGGACACATTCAGTCAATGTAGGGCGGTTGCGATTTTCTGGGATGCGATCAACTGTGAGGCGGAACAATTCCTCAAGAACATCAAACGGAAGCTGGTTCTCTATCAGTATCAAGTCTTGCAGGATAGTTGGGCGTTTGAAAGTGTTCCCCAAAATAGGGTCCATCTGTCTTCTATAACACCGGTAAAAAAGTTCAATCATAAAGCAACCATCAACAAGCATCATTTCAGCGAACCTCACATTTTCTGCAAACATGACATTTTGATCTGCGCTGCAGTTCACATCTCGAATTTTAGAGTAGTACTCTAACTTGACAGGTTTGTCATCTTCATGGCGTTTGACATCTTCTGCATAGCATCTCCTAGCAATGGACTCGATTTTTAACATAGCAACCACACAATCATCTCGTGTTTCCTCAAAATTTCGTGGGAGTTTGACATCGTCCGCATAGCATTTCCTGGCAATGGACTCCATATTTAACATGGATTCCACACAAGCATCTCGTGTATCCTCAAAATCTGGTGTTCGATTAAATAGGAAATGCATGTAGCTAAGCTTCTCCGCCTCCATTGGTTGCAGATGTTTCTTCCCTCTGTGAAGAGGCCCAATAGCTACCATACTAGGAGTATATGCACGTTCATTCATCTTATGTAACTCATCTCGAACCCTGTAAATGGTGGGAATAGATTTGTGTTCTGTGTAACACTTGAGAGAATCTATCTTTTCTTTGTTGCCGTCGATATTTATCTTCAGGTACTCCAAAAGCTGAGCTATAGCGGCAGGATTTCTATTATTCGCCATATGGCTTTGTGTTTGTTCAAGTGTCACTGAATTTTGAGTTTGAACTAGGCTAAGTCTTTTGCCCTGTATCTCAAGGTTCATCTTTACTTATAATTTTGTCCATAATTATTTGTTCTTACCCTTGCAAGTCAGAAATTATTTCATGGTTTAAGAAAAAAAAAAAAAAAAAAAAAAAAAAAAATTAATTTTGTAAGTATGACGACTTGACTGGTAAATTGTGACAATTTCAACATTTTTACGGGCACAATACATACAGCATGTAAATACATTTAAGACTCGAAAAAAGATACCATATTAACTCGAAAAATGATACGAGATTAATGGGAGCCCTTCGGCTGGGATGGCCTTTTAGAAATGATGTGTGGGGCCGGATGCGGTTTCCTCCCAAGTTGCTCTTGATAATTAACAAGAAACATATTTATTTAGTATGTTTTGTTCACACTTGAACTCCAACCCCTCACTTTCTTTTTTAAAATGGGGAGTTTATTCCATTGAATAAGATGCCCTTTGATGTTGTTGATAAAAAAAAATTTAGGCATGCAACAAAATTAATTATTTTTCTGGTAATTTGAGACAAATTAACTTAATATCAATTGTCAATGTCAGCTAAGTAATTAAGCTTGATACTTAGGCTCCGCTTGTTTTGACGTTTCGGAAAATATTTTACTTTTTTCAGGTAAAATATATTTATTGTTATTTTTATTTTTTGATATTTGGCAAAGATTTAGATCAAGAATGAGGTCGAGTTCATCGAATGGGACGTATAAGATAACTTAATGAAAATTGATAAATAAGTTATTTTTGTTTTGTTTTAATTTTTCTTTTTTCGTAAATATTTTACAACAATCAAATATCAAAAAACACATAAAATATTTTTACACTCAAACAAACATAGCCTTAAAGTACGTAAATAGTCTTTATTAATTGTTTCTTTAGGGATTTTTTTTCCATAATTTTTGTTCCATGTCAGCTTCAATGCTGATTAATCAAGCCAATGCAAAACAAGTAATAGTAGGAGGGTGCTAAAGTGACTAGTGGATTTCAGTCTGCCAAGAGATGATCAAAACCCAGTTTAACAGATGGTGAAATAATTAAGAATTTGAAAACTTAAATATTTATTGAGGGGCAACTCCACCACTTGGGTTACAAAGACACTATTATTATTTTTAGGCATTATTAATTTTTTATGAGTCATGACATGGAAGTCTTCTCAATCACCAGCCCTTTAGGCTCGTGATTATCACACCAATTCTTGGAGATGTGCAATTAAGACTGATCACGGATCGGATCGGTTCGATTCAGAAGTAAAGTTCAATTCAATTCGGTCTCTACAGATTGGTGAAATTTGAAACCGAATCGATCCGTAGGGACCTTTAATTCGAACCAAACCAATCCGTGAAATAATGAATCGGATCGGTTCGGTTTCTACGGATTGGGCTTTTCAAACAACTCAATATAATTACACTTTATGGCCCATTAAAATCTCAAATTAGTAATTAAAAATCTGTAATGACTAATGACTTTAGTGACTTAGGGTTAACTTAAAGTCTTAAATAATAAATAAATAAATAAAAAAAAGAAAAAGAAATACACTAAGTATATACATAGTTTTATATATATATATATATATATATATATATATATATATATATATATATATATATATATATACACTAGTAAAAGACACGTGCGATGCACATGATGAATAATTTCTAACTTATATAATTTATATTTTTATATATTTTTTAATTGTTTATAGTTTTATAAAAAAAATAAGCAAAACAGTTCCAGGCCCAGAATGCCTTAGAGAGTAATAATTGCCACTTCAAAAGAAACAAAATAAGGTTTTCCATTAATGTATGAATGAAAACTATAAATATTTAAAAAATATATGAAAATTAAATTCTATAATTTATAAAATATTCATAAATAAATATTATATAAAAATTCTATATATTCTAAAATCCGAAAGGGTACCAACAATTTTTAAATTGTAATAATTGTCACCTCAAAAGAAACAAAATATATTAAAAAAATCCAAAACTAAAACTGTTTGAAAATAAAAGTATTCATAAATTATTTATTTCTCAGTCTTTATCTTTTTTGCATATCTCATTTATTCATGAAATAAATCATTGTCAAGTGTCAATTCTTTTAATTCTTCCACTGCAAAATAAATTTTCACAACTTGTTGAGTATTGTCTATCTTCACCATAAAAAGAAAATATTTTCCTTTGCAGCTTGTCACTTTGTTGCTGAATTCATCCATGTCTTGCAAAAAGAACAAATATAATTTAGAGCTAATAAGAATTTAGAGCTATTGAGAAATTCAAGTAAATATTTTTTTAATTTAATTAAAATTTTACGAATAAGGGTGAAAAATTACCTCAATTTGTAATTGTAGTAAATCATTTAGTGAACAATTTATTAATGTTTGACAATCATTGAACACTGTTAGGGTTACTGTCACGCCCCGACAATTCCAATAAAATCCTCAATTTTATACAACTCAGAGAAATCAAAATACACCCAGAATCAAAATATATATATATATATATATATATATATATATATATATATATAGCCTCTTTATTATACAAAAATCAATTTCCTCAAATATACAAAAAAATTTCAAATTAAATAAAATAAATCCTCTACGCCAACTCTTCATCCTAAACCCGTATCTACGATCCCAGTCCATCTTCAGTACCTGAAATTGGAGGGTGGTGAGACAAAAGTCCCAGTAGGAAAAACCATAGCAAGAATTTCATATAGGTTTAACAAAACAGCTTCACAACATAAACATATACATTTAATACATATGCATTTAATTAAAAACATTTAATAAAAACATTAAAGCAAAACCTCCCCATGCCATTCAAGGTATAGAGAACCCTACTCTGAAAAAGAATTCCTGTACTGGATCATCAAGCCACCAAGTTTCCTGTGATACCCCCAGATCTCCGGATGAGGGTTGGCCAGGCCTACGCCCGATCACCCAATGATATCAAACCAATTAGTAATAAATGAACACAGAATACAATTAAGTTAAAACAGAAATAAATAAAACGCTGAGAGAGCTAAAACGATAACCCAAAAACTTTTATTGATAAACAAAAACATTTGATACAAATCATCCTCCATCTTATACAACTCAGGAATCCATCTCTTGTGGACCCCTAATCAAAATCCAAACCAAAATACAAATACTAAAAGAACATCTAAAATTAAACCATGGAGAGAAGTCCTACATCATCGGAAGAGTGAGTACAAGTCTCTGCTCAGCACAATCAAGTCTACGTTTGGAACTGTCGAACACCTGGAAAATAGTAGTAGGTCAGACCCACAAACAAGTTCTATCCTACTACAATCCGAACAGAGACTCGATACGCATGTACATCCTAACCAATTCAACAATAACTAAATAGTCCGTAGATATATATATAATCACACTACAGGACTCTCACTGAATTACAGGCCTGTCTCAACCTGACTAGTAGGCACCATGCAAAACGCACCTGAGGTGGGCATGACTACCTAGGCCTAGCAGGGTACACATCCAACCATCATAGCTAGCTATGCATCCCAATGCATATACGCTCCCTAACCAACGACTCTGAGACTCAGGCTCATAACATGGCACCATAAAAATATAATTAAATTCCATTCCAAAATCCATAGTAGTGCCGCTCAACTATATGTTGCCTTGATACTATAAATAAAATAGGATTAAACTTTTAGTTAATCCATTCCTTAATTCCAGAGTAAGTAGGACTTAGCGTTTTTGAGCTAATCCCCTAGTATGAAACCGTCCCATACCGGTGCATACAATCCATCTATCAATGATGCACGTTCATTAGAACACCAAAAACATCCAGAGTCCGACATAATAGCAATCAGATATAAGCAAGATTCTAATATGTATACAGTACATGATTAAAATCATGAAACATCCATTTAAATTGCTAAAATAATGATATCCAATTTAAACTATCCACTTCCATAAAATTTACAGAACATAAATTTATATAGTCCACCAATTAACGTCTATAGCATGGTATAATGAATATTAGAATCATAAACTGTACATTATACTAGAATTCCCAACCGATACTTCCATACTAGCTCGTTTGAATTTCTAAAACAAAAACTAGTAAATAAATCCTCCAATATCCTTGATGGCATGCAAAGTCATATTTAAATTTCATGTCATCAATTTCAATCTTTAACTATAAGTCCTGAGAATAACATAATGGTACATAGAAAATATAAGCTGAGCACATTATATAAATTCCAAAAATACTTCCATACCAGTCCGTTTAGTTTGCTAAGTTAGAACTAGCAACTAAAACTTCTGCAACTCCCGACAGCATGCAATTTAATATCTAAAGTTTATGAAATCTATAACCACATCCTAAACCAACGTTCCTGGGACTTAAATATGTTATATACATTATTGTCATAAATTCCCAAAAACTAATTTTCATACCAAACTATTTAGTTTGCTAGAACAGAACTAAAGAAAAAATTTAAACCTTCCTCCATCCTTGACAGCACACCTATTAATATCCAAAGAAATCATGATGTCCACTTCCCAAGCTTAAACCAATAATTTTAAGTCTTTAATGTGTTTTATACTTCATTTAAAAACCCTCATCAAAGTCCAGAATTTCCTTTTAGCCTTGGAGAAACAAAAATCCCAATATTTCACGTACTGGGCAAATACAAAAGGTTGAGGGGCTCCAATTTAAAGTAGAGGAGGCTCCACTTGGGTAGAGGGAGCTCCAATTTTAAGTAGAGGAGGCTCCACTTGGGTAGAGGGGGCTCCAATTTTAAGTAGAGGAGGTTCCACTCTTCTCAGCCTCTGTCTTCTTTCTCCGACGTGTTCCAGACCTTCTGTCTTCCATGATTAATGTTCGTACTGGTTAATTCTAAGTCCCAGTGTGTTCCAAAAACTTTAAAATTCATCATTCATTAACCGACATCAATCAACACAAGAA